CACGCCCTCAGAGTCCAGCAGGGCATCAGCTTATTCTGCCCGTTCTGCAAGCCCTGGGACAGAAAGGAGTATTCCTCCATCCTCACAGAGGATCAGTCCTAACGACTCAGACGTAAATTGACTATGAGTGCTACCAAGTGCAGCGGGGCTACCGTAGCTCTTTGCTTGAAGAAATCAAAGCCAAGGTCACTGACGTAACATTTCCCCAAGAACCAGTGCTAAGGTAGCGAAACGCAATCCGCTACTTCTAAGTACTAAATCCTTACCAAGGCAAACGAATGCTTCTGTTCAAAAACGAAATTAGAGTTACCTGTTTAGTTGCGGCAGAGCCGCCAATATCTAAAAGTTAGGTTTCCTGAATTAATAAAGTAATACCAAATTAATAAAGCAAAACCTAAAAAATAAAGTAATATGCATACAACTGGTATTTCTGCCACGCGGTGGCTCTTGTTACAGTGTAGTCAGATCACTGTTGTATTACACTAACTGTGTAAAACACACCTATGACGTCGCACAAGGTTGTGCGACCCAAAGGCACGTGCTACCCCGTTTGACATAAGGTTAAGATGCTTATTTTAAATTTATTGTGGAATGTTTACACTTTATTCATAATAAAACCGTATGTATGCTTCGATGAGCGATTCGCTGCACGACTACCACGAACCTCTTCATTTCTCACATTGACAGATCCGAAATTTCGGAACTCGTAATCATCTATAATTTTCATCAAAGTACAACGCGAATTTCACACAATTGTACTGTATTGTATACAATACAGTTGTACTAAGAATTAAGTGCACAAAATTATGTACTATAGAATTAAGTGCACAAAATTATGTACTTATCTGCTACATAAACAAACACCTAGCTTCAGTATATGATCTTTTTGCTAATTCATGTAGATGCAAAAGACTCCAAGGTTTTTCAATCTTGTTGATGCAAACTCCTAGATTCAAATGCAAAGTGCTGCGCAACCTCGTTGCAAGTGCAGCATTCACAACTTTTTTTCTATGTACTCATTCGTAGTATACTCATTGATACTATGTTGTGCTTTTTGTTTGCTCCGTACAAAATAAAGAAGTCGTCACGTCTCCTTAGGTAAAATAGAACTACTTTTAACATTGTAGCAACGCGTTGTATAGCTATGCAACGTGAACTTTCATATGACATACTGTGGTGGTATGCTACAACGTCAAAGCTCGCGTCAATACCATGATTATTCAAATTGCGCCAACGAAGGGGAAAAACACTATTTGATTCACACGTGAAGGAAAATCTTAGTAAAGTTTATACGTCATACAACTCTCAATAGTTGCATGAGGAATGTGAGATGGGTACAAGAGGTATAAGGATGAGAAGCCCCAACCACGTCATCCCTCAAGCTGCAAAAGCTGTAGCATAGCTTATCGCCCAAAGTTTGGACTACTTAAAAAAATGTCAAAACGAGCAATCCGTCGATGTGTGGAGTACCTACTGTTGCGTCGGTCGTGAATCTGAAATCACTGTACGCTCAAATAAATCGCAATTACGTTCATTTACTGATTCATTGCTAATCGTACAACGTGACATTTCGTTTTAATCTACATCGTGCACAATAAGATGGCATCATGAGCATGTGATGATAAACGGGATGAAATGGAGTCAAAGGAGTCCTGCTCACCATGACCATATAAGCGTGAAGAAACAATTTCATCAAGTATGCTAAGTTAGGTTGCGTCGTGTTTGTTACTTTCACATTGCATATTCATATTTTGGACTGAGGTTGATGAAAACTCATGATAATTGAGAAGTAATTGCCTCAACATGATATTGTATATTCACCTGATTCAACAAACGATCTCATCGTAGGTATGGCGAGGCTGGGACTCCACAAGCCGTCGGTCTACTGTTCAATGCTGCGCTCTTCTCTCCCAGCGGATCTTTTACGAGTCATAAACATACCTCTGTGGGGGGGGGCAGAGTGCTTCTGAAGTAGACCCGAAGCTGCAATGGCTTCAATGCAGGACATAATACTGTCCGGAATTTATAGTATTACTTCGAATAGATTACGGAACGTGAAGTCACATTTGACCGCGGTCTCAGGATGAGACGAGAACTAATGACTATATGTCGTGGACGCCAAATTGTGATTAGCTAACAGCTATTCTTAATAGGCTCAAACGAGACAAAAACAAAAGCTGTTAGCTAGTATACCTTCTACCAGGGTCGGTGGAGTTGACCAGTGACTGAAAGTCTAGAAAAGAATGATCAGACCCTGAGGTTAAAGCGGACGACTCATCCTTCTCACGATGCGGCGCTGATATAGCAGTATCATGTGAAACATCCACCGCATGCGTCAGTGAGATTCTACAGTATTTCAGCAAAGTTGGTAATTCACTTGTGAATTAGAGCGACCCATGTAGTCCTAATAGTAGAGTCTCTTCTCATTCTATCTAGCTGAAGCGCTCACCGAGCTTTAAGCGTCACCCCTATACCATGGCTCGCGATCTTCCATACCCGAGAAGAAAAATTCTCATCAAATATTCGAGTGCCTGATTGATGACAATTGTATTCGGACTTAGCGGGTTGTCGGCGCACCTCACATCTACAAAATGGCTGGTGTTCGTGAGAACTTTGCATTACTTGAAGTCATGGAAGCTTTTAAGAACAAGGTTCCTGAAGAAATTTATATGGTGCTTCTTAAAACTGTGTGCCTCGGACAGGTAGACAAGTTTAACTTTTTGGCCAAGTGGATCACGGAGGTGGCTCTAGGCCATCCTATCGGCACACTTGAGGCGCGTGCCATTAAAATTTCAAATCTTGACACAGTGACCTGCATCACACTGGTGCAATTAGCGCAACTTGTTTGGTATACATCTTACAACGGGGAAGATATTAAATAAAGCACGTTAGCTAAGAAATAGAAGATAAGTTTGCCGCGCACCTATCACGCACCGATCACAGAGATCAGGTAACGATGTGCTTTGTCTGCTCTGCATTCAATGTGGCTCACTTTCAAGTTAAATTTGGCGTGTTGGTTTACCAACTACGATAAATTTTTTTTTTTTGTATGATGTATTACAGGAGATAGCAACACAGGCGGCAAACAGACGTCCCCTTTACGGAGTTCCTGTTATTTCATCGGTACCGAGTAATCTACTTTGGTATATCTGCACTTTACTACATTCTTCGAATAATGCCTAGCACGATGAACAGTTTTCGAAAGTTTCATATCAAAGCGTCCAAACAATGACCAGCAAGCAATACTGGCGAAACGTTTGCGGAAGAACAGATTGGCTATACTTTTCTCAGTCCCGGCGTCGCTGACCCCTGCAAGATGAGCCAGTTAATCCAAACAGTCCAGAAACGCCACAATATTGGTATCACAGGGATTAGCCTATACTTGTGGACTGTCAACGTCTGCCGAAAACAATAGCCTTGCCAAGAGTGCTGACGCATGTGGTGAGAACTATATTTCTGGCATGTTTTATATTAGCGCACATAAGTACTTAGCTATATGCGAATATAAGATTAACAGTGCATATAACATTGTCTGAGCCGTAAACCGTTTTTAAGCCAATGATACCACTATTTTATATACCGCACGCGGAAGTCTGTATTTGAAGTCTACACACCATACGCAAAGTATCAAGCGGGTTAGTAGCAAGCCTTTAAAAAACGAATAGAAAAATCTCATTACCAACCGACTGGCTTATAAAACGACATCGCGGTTTATAAGTTTCATTTCCAAACTTTCGACGATACAACACACATGTCATTCGACCCGTACTCAGTACCAACCACCCCTTGTCTTGTTCTCATCGTGGCATGCGAAAAAGCGTAGTCTGGGCTACCCAAAAAAGCATCCGGAATCAAATTAATCCGACCCAGCCCATCATAGGCAAATTGTCATTATCTTCAAATGATGGTTGCTGGAAAATTGTAAGACATGCTTGGTTAGACTTGGAGTACAGCGGCTTACTGTTGATGATGTCAAATCGATAAAATTGAATATAACTTACATCGAGGAGCGCTTGAAACGCGAAATTGTGTCTCTCAAAAGTTTGCAGCCTATCTCGCTTTCAATTCTTCACTTTGAAAAATGTGACACATGTGTTCGTAGCTTATAATCGATCGACTTTCATCTATGTCTGGTAGAAAAACTAATGTTTCACAAGGCACTGATCAGGGAGCCTGTGTCGTCCTAAAAGATTCCGGAGTGAAAGTATTGAGTGTAAACTAATGTAACACAGAAAGTAAAAATTTGTGTACAATTTGGCAAAATAGAATGTGAGGTTTAGCGCGTCTATATCCCCATGCAATGATACACGTATGATTGTCACATCGCTACCTTTTTCGGCAAGCGAGTTACATCGACATACGCAACTTTGTGCTCCAGTTTCACCATATGCTTTTAATTTGCGTGCTCATTTCCAAGTTTAAGAAGCACGAACTCACCACCGGATATCGAGGCTGCACCTGAGTTGGGTTTTTGGCAGCGATTATAACATACGTTCCGGAAGGCGGGAACTACGTTTAATCGAGTGAGGTGACTTGCAAGTTACAAATGCAGTTCCAAGGATGTCAGTCGAAGCCAAAAGCTGTCAAACTTATTTTAAAATATATAGTCTCAACGCTTTTAATGCATTAAATATTTTACCCTATCCTATATGATTCACCGATCATAAACTCGTCCATGTAGAGTTGAATCAAACATTGCCCAGCTGGATTCAAAAGTATCGAGGAGCTCACATGACATTCATAACTGGAGAGTTATGACTAGCTTGTTTATTAGTCCCCAAACCATTGCAAATCAAACGCAGTATCTATCCCCATCAGCACAACTGCATGTTTAGACGATCGAAATCCAGCACGCAAAGGGCAATGATTGATTTGATATTGACGTCCATGTCCGGCACTAAGCATACGATTCATTTTTGCATCGGAAGTGCGGCGTATTTTTTACAGAGAAAGCTTTGACTCACCGGGTCCAAATTAATAAACACACAGAGATTCTGTTTGTGCGGTGCTAACAGGGATAAAATCGACCGCCGATATGAAGAGCAGCACTGAATTTTGCTCTAATATTTTAAAAAGGCATACTTATAGAATTTCTTATGTTTAAATTAGCTATAGATAAACGTTCTATTGTCTTTCGTAAAACAGCCGTCTTTTCTGGTTTGTGTGCCGCTAGTTGAGCTACTCGCGGGCTGATCTTTTTGTATATCGATGTTTCAGCCCTTGGGTATTTACGATTACACCAAATCAAATGGGATAATCTTGCAATTGTACTTTGCTGGTGTTTACCCTAGTCGCGCCAAATATCAGACACAAGTTTACATTACTTTCTGAATCACCATCCTTAGCACATTTACTTTTATTTTGTAGACACGTCGCAAACTGACCTCTCTCCGAGCAGCCACAACACACAACTTTCGGTATTTTACCGTGCCTGATATTGTGAGATTACTTACAGGGGGGTGAGCTTCCATTCACCATATTAAATGGCTCGATAAGCCTTCTCCAAAAGCGCGTTCTTAGTGACCGATGCGTTAGTAAAAATTCATGATGGAACGCCCAGGTGAACTTTAGTGAGGGCAATTCCAGTGACTCCTCGATATCAACCAATCACCGATTTTCTCACACGACCAAGTCATCTTCTTAAAAGGAGACGCTCGTCGATCTCAGTCTCCCTGGTGCACTAGACTCGAACAGTGCTCATTTCCGTTGGCGACAAGTGCTTCGAACCCTGCCACGGGTTTTTCAATGATATCTTAAGAATCTGCTGTACGCCTTGCGCGTATTTATTCGTCCTTATGCGCAGAACATTGTTGTCGCTTGAGGCAGCGGCGGTTAGGGAATCCCGTAATCTTCGTAAAATATTAGCCTTGAGCATTTGAAGGTGACGAAGGAGCCGTTAAGTAATAAACTCAATTCGCGCACAGGATGCAAAGGCATGCCGCCTCACCTTTTTTTAGTCCTTAAAGCCAGCTTCAGCGACGAAAATGTCCGCCTAGAGTGTCATCTGTGTAAGAATTGGAGCACGACTTGGATGTCAAAAACACAATATATCACCTTCAATCCCTGCTATTTACAACCTTGCTCGTCTCCATGAAAATGCTAAACAGCTACCGACCAAAGGTGTTCTCATCCCAAGGTCGAATACTAGTGGGAAGGGCACACTGACAGGCTTCCCTGCCCCTTTGTTAAAGTGGATATATACCTTGGGTTATTCGTTTTGGCGAGGTGTTATCGTCTACTCTTTCAAAGAGTGACGGCATACAGCCCGAAGCTGAGATAGGTCAGATCTCGAATTTGCTATCGGAGCTTTGTCATTTTATCTACCTGACTTGAGGCACTTCCAGCAAATAAGAACCGTGGAGCTTCATTGGAGAAGAAAGTGGCCAAGCTTCAGATGATGGCACTGTTTGATAGAGCACACGCCCAAGCATAGTATGATCTCATTATCTAAGACATTTAGAGTCATCCTCAATCTCTGATTTACTGCGATCCTGAGCGGTCATATATAGCGCGGTCGCGAATATTTTAGCTTGATCTAAGTATGCACAATTTGCCAGTCGCTGTTAGCCAATCATTTTTGGCGCCAGGTGTGAAGATTTACTTTCTCTCGCTGATTTCGCTTTGTGTTATCCACGAAAGGAAGCGACAACAATGAACTCTGCATCCTTGGTAAGGGTCAAAGACGTGTGACGCAATATTCGGCTCCGAGATTAAGCAGATCTTGTGACACACTTACCTATCCGGGCTGACAAGCGAGGTGGATTTCTCGTCGTCACAAATGTACATTTCTTTATACAAGTATAGCTTCCCCACCTCTAACACTCAGTTCTCTGCAAGCATTCTCCGACGACAGATTCATCTATGACGAATTACAAATCTGGCTCCTTCTTTGGTTACAAAAGTGCCATTTTTATGATCCTTTCATCTTGCCGTTCTTTGAACTTATTTGCTATGGATAGTTTCCCGGCTCTATAGGAACTTCTGCGGAGGACCATTCTGGTCAATTTTTTTACTGATGAATATTATTTCTCTCCACCAACCCGGGGAACTTAACTGCTGCGTCCCATCATCACATGGATGATCCATCCTATTTATCTTCATGTCTTAGACGACTTTAAGTAGCCATTTTACTTCTTCGGTTTTGCACGGGAAATTGAAACTTGGCTTTGCTTTCACGATCCAGTGACCCGGCACAGGAGCCAGCTACTCTTGACCGTCCCGTTTGAGGTACAATCTGGAGATTATGACGTACAGTTGTCCACTTTTGTCCCAAAAGGAATACACTCTAAGAACTGCGATATGCATACACTCCTTCCCAGATCTCATTCTGATGACTTTGCTCACTGCCGCTCATATCTTCATAGCTTTGCTTAAGCCACTCACAATACCATTGCAATCAATTGTAGCCTGTACGAAAACTATCGCATTGTGGATGAAGCCTCTGTGAAACTGAGCTGGGCAGCCACTTAAGATGGTTACGTTATCTTACTCGGCATTATTGAGATCCATTGCTACTGGCGCTCTCGTGACCTTCCACTCGCAGCACCTTTACCTACCCTTGCGACCCAGATTTGTTCCCCTCGTTATATAATACGCCCACCGCCCACCGCTCACCGCTCACTAGAAAAATGAAGGATAAAATTTTTAGATATTTTAGATAGAAACTATGCTCACAAAAGTATCGGTGTGAACCCGCCCGTTCGGAGACGCCCAAGATGATGGAAATCAATACTGCTCGTGGAGACATTAATGCGGCAATTAGACGGGATCAAGTCCTCTTTTTTCCTACTTAGAGTACTTTTGATACGTCTGCTAGGCGGAGCAGAAATCGCGACTTCACATCGTCCTAAGCTGTCAACGCCTCCTTTTTGGGAGGGGCGGG